TAAAATACCAGGTAGAAGCATTTAATCAATCCTTAAAGAAAAAGCAGTGACACGGAAAGAGTTCGCGTTCAGGATGAAACTTTTTATACTTGATTGCATACAACGAATAATTTGAGTCGACACGATTAAAAACAGAAGCGTGTCTCCAAGTTAGATACTGCTCAAAAAAATCAAAGGAAGGACTTCTAATTAAGCACCTAATGAATTTAAGCTTTCGTTTCTCATTCAAAAAGAGAATAAAGCGGTTGGTTTTATTTTGTGTTTCAATGACTGAGGCTCTTAATTATTGTAAGACACAGCACTGTATCATTTATCTACAGTTTCTTTTTTCCTCTCAAGCTAGCTTAAACATGTTACCTGAAAGACCGTAACAGTGAACCCTTTCCAATTAAGTCAATCTGAGAGCAGAGATGGCCTGCTACAGTTTCAAAAGTATACACAGTGAGGAGGCACCATGAACACTGCCGCATCCATTCTAGATCAAAGGCAGCAATGTTCAATCTTTCGAACATTGACGCGGTTTGCCATCTGCCTTATTTTTCTTCATGCTAGTGCCTCAACATCAGTGATTCAAGAAACAAGGGCCAAAGACTGTGAGCTGCATCATCCTGCTGTACGAGGCACGCCCGATTGTTTCAAGCCCGTTTTCTCCTACGTGAAACGATGCAGCTTTACAACCAGACAGCCCGACACACCGTCCAATTGTACGTATAAAAGGAAGCACGTTGTTCAAAGACACCGATCTGATCCAAAAAGACGAATCAGTGGCAGGTTAGCAAAGGTACGAGTGTATCATCCGCTGCATGCATTATGTATTAAGAGGCAAATCAATGCAACGAACTGGAACTCACACAATAAATTGGATCAAACATAGGCGCTTGTCTTCAATTCTTGTGTGATTAACTTTTCGCGTTAATTCGGTTCTTCACTAATGCATCCAGAGCTGACCACCCAAGCAGTCATTTCTAGCCTTGCAAAACAATTTTTTTAACAATTTGTACAATATAGCGCTATACCCGCAGCAGTCTTTTCATGCTACACTAATTTCTCATTACTATTCTGCTTCTTTCTAATCATCGTACACTGTTATGTTGTTTTCTATTGTTTTTTGTTCACTTCTTCGTACCGCTAAACTTTCTGTGCCATCCTTCCTGTAGGGCCGGCGCACATAATGCGCCTCACAGTAGCAGTTACTAGGTGCTGCTTAGTTCCCTTTTCTCCCATTTAGTGTATATATATCGTGAAACGTAATAACATTGCTACTACAAACAACAATAGTTCAGCTGCTTTATTCACAATAAGCCACCTACTCAAAGGTAAAAAGTAAGTGTGTGATAGCACCTGGCGAGGACGCGCTTAGCAGAGGCTTTCATGCTAACCGTACATGCGACAAGCTTTCCTCTTTTCTTTATACTTTAATGGGTGGAAGACAATGACATGGAAGTTCTATTCAGCCTCTGAAACTCAATCGTTCGCGTCCCAACGTAACTGCAATGATACTGCTTCTATATAAGAACCCATATCGCAATACGGTTAAGTGCTTATGCTGTTCTTAGACTTAAGGCTAAGTCGCATTCGGTTCCGTTCTCGGTTATTCTTCCAGTTACGAGCATGACTGTTTTAGTGCGGTGAAAACAATTCACGAATGTGTGTCTGATATCTTGGCTCCAGATAATAGAGGTATACTCTTGTGTACTTCGACATCACGGCTATTAAAACCTCACTTGCTAAATTAGGTGATTGGACTCACACGGAAGCTGAAATTTTACGATCTGAACAGGAAGGCGTCACATAGTTTGATATCCGAAGACACCTTGCGAAAGAACTGAGTGAAATGTAATGTAATGTATTAGACCTATCAAAATTCACGCCTATTATTTGTTTGTCGATGTAATGAAAATGAAGTTGCAGTTGCATTCAGATATATTCTTCCGGCATCAGTGGATCCCTTCTATTTCTGAAACACATTAGAAATAAGTTTAGAAAGTTGTAGGTAGACGGCAGGCCTAGCCTTGCGAAATTTGCAAGTTTACTCTTTTCCCATCATATTGAACTAATGTTTTTTTTTATAGGTAGGCGTGGGCATGCTGCCAGGAAAACACACAATTCGCTAATAAGCGTTATCCGTATGCGGTATTTACGTTCGTTAATTTGCGTACCCATGCTAATGAATACGTTCGAAACAGTGTGACTTACATCAAGGAAGGCAGAAAAGTCTTTCGTGTTTGTTTTGCAAATGTAAACGAAAAAGTCATTTCAGAACGACGCATAGCCTAGCTATATTACCGCCAGAATTAACAATATGTAGAAGTACAAGATGTAAGAGATACATATTGTATGTACCCAGAACTCCTTTGTTTACCGACTAATATTATCTTGCTAGGACAGCTGTGTGTCACACCGCTCATTTGTTTACTTCATTATCTCTTTCCCCGAAGCTTTTTTTGTTCCGTCTATGCTAACGCTTTCCTAATGCAGAGCACAAAAAGGCCTTGCCCCGCCGAGTTCATGACGACGTGAGTGTTTCTCTGAACCTGTCCGAGAAAAGTGTAATCTATAGGTGTCTCGTATGCAGTGCGTTCTACACACCATACAGAAAACTTCGATATCATTTCTTACATGCAAGCAACGCATCACCACAGCTTACCTTAAACCTCTCAGCCCAAGTACAGAATTTTTTGTAAAGGTGGCTTTTTTGCAGTAGTACCCTACTTGAGGTAGTGAGAGCTTTACAGGGGTAAGAGGGAGAGGCAGAGAAGTTGTCTTATTTTCAGAATTTGTTGAGTCCGAGTCCTCTTAATACGAAGTGAGTAATGGCCACCATGGTGACTGCGGGGTTATAGTGCTGCTCGGCTGCTTGTTCATAAAATTTGTGTTACGCACCAAGGCTGCCACCCGCGCGCTCACTCACCAGGCATTAGCTTCATACGCAGTCCAGCTCCGGAACTCGATTTCAATCCAGCTGTCACCTTTAGAGATATTACATCTCTCTTTATCAATCCTCTCATAGTCTCTACCACCACCACCCCTTTCCTGTAAAGGCATCGGCAGGGCGGAGGAGCGCCGGCTTCTGCGTCTCTTTACCAATACTGTACTTTGCCCGGCAGTACTGGAGTACTTCAATTCGGCCTTTTCGGGTGCGTGCCCGCACTGTGCGGACGAGTCTTGGGACACCTATCACAAGGTGTGGGCATTCCCCTTAAATTCAACCTACCCACCCCATTCCTCCCTACACCCCAGAGGACTAGGAAGCTGTCCTGCTCGGCTTCTCCAGTACATGCATTGGTGGCTACAGCCCGGCAGCTACGGGATACCGGACTATAGAATCCCCTCCCACTATTTGTGGAGGGCAGGCCCTTCAGACTCATCTCTTCCCATACCTCTCACTGAAAGTGTATTAATTAATATTTTCTACCCTCCCCCCCCCCCCCCGCCCGGTTTCTTTTAGGGGCGAAACTCTTTATAACTGCACCCGTTCGTCCCTCGTAGCCATTGTAATATGTAACAATTATAACATTTTCACGAGTGTTGAAGATTGGGCGAGTTGGTTCATCGTACTTGAACTGGTATAGCGCATTACGGGGAAGAAGAAACGGCCGAGCAGACCGACACAAGAGGACAGAGCGCTCTGTCCTCTTGTGTCGGTCTGCTCGGCCGTTTCTTCTTCCCCGTAATGCGCTATACCAGTTCAAGTATAACATTTTGACCTCCAAGGTGGTGCCGGTGAGAAATTTTTTCTGTGCGTTGTTGAACAATAAAAAATAGATCTCAATGTACATGCCAATGACTGCTAATGGGGAATGAGAGACAGTAGCATTCGGCTTTTAGTTAATGCGCACGCTGCGATCCCCATTAGCAGCCATTGGCATGTACGTTGAGCACTACCTGACAAGATTGGGTTGCTACATTATACTCGCTGGGTGTAACCTCCTTAGTTTTAGAAAGGTTTAGCGAGCGTTGAGCCGCAGTGCCATGAATACAACGAACTAGTATATACCATGAATGAACTCGAGGTGGTTAAAGGTGGGAAGCAGATACGAAGCGCAAGCCGTAAAAAGTAAAAGCCGAATTCTCCTGTCTTTCATTTCTCATTAGCAGCCATGGGCGTGTACATTGACCACTATCTGGCAGGAAACAGTTGCTACGTTATACTCGCTGGGCGTAACTTTCTTGGTTGTAGAAAGGTTTAGCGAGCGTTGGGCCGCAGTGCCATGAATACAGTGAACTAGTATATACCATGAACTCGAGGTGGTTAAAGGTGGGAAGTAGACCCGAAGCGCAAGCCGTAAGAAAGTGTGCATGTGCCACCTCTAGTTTAGTCCTTGGAATGTCCGCTAGATGACGATGCTTCTATATGGGGAATATATAATGAAAAGATGCGAGATGGTGGTACTTGGAGTGTTGAATAGACGGACGAACGGACACACAGACAGATGCATGGATGGACGCATGAACGGACGCATGAACGGACGCAGGGTCGGATGCATGGACGAACGCAGGGACGGACGCACGAACAGACGCACGCACGGACGGGCGGATGGACGCATGGACGAACGGAAGCAAGAACGAATGGACGGACGAATGCTTCGCCCCACTCTCCATCATTCACTCCGTGGATATGCTGCCAATTGTTTTGCGCTATGCTATTCTCCCTTACAAATTAAAGAAATGATTGCCTTTTCTTACCTCAAATCACCAGTCAACCACTCCTTTTCTATCTCTCAATGAGTCCGAAAGGTGATTGCCAGCTCAGTATGACTTTTATAAGGTCACATCAGGAGGGAACCTAAGTGGGCTGGTGGGCACATCATTATTACACGAGCGAAAAACGAGACGGTGATAAAATGACAGGCAAGGCGCTGATGTACGAAAAAACTACGGACTCTGTGCATTGTCTGTCGTGCTTTAACAATTCTCTGCCTATCGCTCTTTGTTGCCGGCCAATTAGAAACACGACTTCTTAAACAGCCTACCGATCACGCGCAGCGAATATGACTTACGTGAGTAGGCCTTGAGCTTCTCGAGGTATGTGGCTGACGCTGAGTCGTTGAGGAAGACGACCACTTTCATCTCCGTGCTCGAACAGGTGACGTCATATTGAACTGCGAAAAAAAAGAAAAGAAAAATGCAAACCATAAGCATCTTGAATAACTTCAGTGGTCAGACCACACTTGTTGAGATAGCTCGAGTTTGCTCTCATATGTTACTGCGCCGGAAAATTAGAAGAAGCTAAGCAATAACAGCGTCGCAACAATCACACATGGTAAATAATACAATGTGCTTGAAATTTTCAAAACCCCAAGTTAAAGTGCATCTCATATAACATATATATATAGATATGTTGCTTTAGGATAACAACAGCAAGATATATAACTTTTCTTAGCACATGTTTCACATCTGCCAATGTAAGTAAAGCAGTTGTCTAAATTCATACACATGTACAATCTCTGGTTGTTCATATAGATGCCTCCAGCTCTCTCGGCAACAAACATGTAGCCTGCACAAAGTTTTATCATGAGTAATACAACTAATAATTGCTCGGCTTTAACGTCCCCAAACCACCATAGGAATATGAGAGACGCCGTAGTGGAGGGCTTCGAAAATTTTGACCACCTGGATCACCTGGTGACGTGCACCTAAATCTAAAATATTCTATGTGCGACATGTCATACAAAGAGATTGGGAGAAAGTAATTTATTCTACCAGATTTTTTATTTCTTTGAGCAAACGTCCATTCGCTCTCCGGGATTTCCAAGCTATCTGTCTTCGTGGAAAACACCATAAATGAATCCCTCAATAGGCACTTATGCTCGCATTTTATTTACTTTGTGTACACTTTCTAGCCACTGCTAGTACAAAGTCCGGGATGTACTTGACAAGAACTTTAGAAGCACTGTCTATCTGACGTGTCCGTTCGGACGAAGCACCAATATGTTACGCTACCTTTCAAATATATTGAGCGTTCTATAAAGTGGTTGGAAGCCGAAGAATAAACAATCATTTATTCAAGAACATTATTAAAAGCTTGTGAAGATTTTAAGCCACCGTAGTGTCCACGAGGGACACGAAAATAATTTCTCAGGTTCGTCAGTAAATGTTGCTGTGATAAATTATTTCTGTGTGCTTTTTTTTTTTTTTTGCTCCAGTGATATGCGCTCTTCTTCACAGCTTGAGACGCATTGAAAAAAAAAAACACCTCCCAATGCAACCTTTCTTTTGCATAAAATCTCTTGATTGATATTTGGGGTTTAACGTCCCAAAACCACCATATGATTATGAAAGACGCCGTAGTGGAGGGCTCCGGAAATTTCGACCACCTGGAATTCTTTAACGTGCACCCAAATCTGAGCACACGGGCCTACAACATTTCCGCCTCCATCGGAAATGCAGCCGCCACAGCCGGGGTTCGAACCCGCGACCTGCGGGTCAGTAGCCGAGTACCTTAGCCACTACACCACCACGGCGGGGCTGCATAAAATCTCTTCCCTGACACTCATATTGTTTTACTTCAAGAACATGTTCAATAATCAGTGAACCAACGATTTCTCATAAACTTTTTTATGTATTACCAATTGAGTTCGTTACAAAGACAGTTCCGGTATTTTCTTTTTTGTAATAGTTAAACTAGTTTTTCCCTGACTTAGGTTAATTATTCAAAAAACAATATTTTACATCCCAGTAATGCTTATGTTTGCCTTTTCTTTCAATTATTGCATAGACTATTAAATACCAAACTACGTTCAGCCGCTAGCTCATTTTGCTATGTTAGTGCATTCTGCACTTCACGTGCTTTCGCGCTGCCTCCGATAACGGTACACTTTAGACCAAGCGAGGACGCCGTGTCATGATACCATCCCGCGACGCCTCGTTATGTGGCGTCACTATCGCGCGACCAATCTGAACGATGTGTGACGTCATTGTGGCGTCATATGGTGACGCCACCAGTGGCGGTAACTTTTTTTTTTTTGCACCACTCGTGTTGACGTTGTCAACGTGGGAAGCCGACGCCACCGGATGCCATCGGTGATTAATTTTGGCGTTGGATGAGACGTCTCCGGTCTTGGCCTTCATAATACATATATATATATATATATATATATATATATATATATATATATATATATATATATATATATATATATATATATATAATTATTGATTTGATTGATTTGTGGGGTTTAACGTCCCAAAACCACCATATGATTATGAGAGACGCCGTAGTGGAGGGCTCCGGAAATTTTGACCACCTGGGGTTCTTTAACGTGCACCCAAATCTGAGCACACGGGCCTACGACATTTCCGCCTCCATCGGAAATGCAGCCGCCGCAGCCGGGATTTTAACCCGCGACATGCGGGTCAGCAGCCGAGTACCTTAGCCACTAGACTATTTTTTTAATTATTAAGTACATGCTTCACCATAAGGCATTACAGCAGGGAGGGTACAGTACATATGATCAAACACATAAAAAAAAACATTCATAAAGCATGAAAAAAATTATCACTTGAATCAATAGAGAATATTTCCGGTGGCAGAGTGTTCCATTCTCTTATAGTGCGGACAAAGAAAGAGTAGCGAAAAGCGTCACCCCCAAAAGGAATCTCGCGTATTTTTAATTGATGATCGCGTCTTTGAGAAACATAGTTGGGTGGTTGAAAATACAATTGCCTGATGATCCCTGTTCTCAAACGATAAATGCTGTGAAAGAATTTTAATCTGAGGTTTTGACGACGGTATTCAAGTAGATCCCAATTTAATGTTTTTCTGCTCTCTGTCACACTAAGCATCCTGTCGTAATTTCCAAGGACAAATAATATTGCTCTATTCTGCACTCTTTCAAGTTTACCTGTAAGTTCTTTAGTATATGGGTCCCAGCAGACGCACGCATATTCCAGTATACTGCGGACGTGTGTAAAATAGAGCTGCTCTCTAAGTTTTTGTGATAAACTACTGAAGTTACGTTTCAGAAAACTTAATATTCCTACCGCCTTGTTCCTAACGTAAGTGACATGTTTATTCCATCTCAAATCAACAGTGAAAAATACGCCTAGGTATATATATTCCATGACATGTTGAAGATTAGCGTTAATAATCGTGTAACAATTTCTGCAGTGCGAGAGATTCCTGGTAAAGGTGACATGGACGCTTTTTTTCACATTCAACGACATTTTCCATTTTTCACACTGTGCAGCAATTAAATCTAAATCGTTTTGCAGTGCTTGTTTGTCAAGGTCGCTATTGATGGCCCTATATACTATACAGTCATCTGCAAACTTTTTAAATGATGATGTGATACCGAAAGTGATGTCATTTATGAACAACGAAAATGAAAGCGGACCTAAGACTGATCCCTGTGGTACACCAGAGGTCACAGCAACGTATGTAGAGGAACAACCGCTCAGAGCCACAGACAGAGCCTTGAGTGAAGATACTCAGCTATCTAAGCAATAATCCTATCATCCAATTTGTAATATCGAAGTTTAGCGATCAAGAGACTGTGCGTAACGACGTCAAAAGCTTTTCTGAAATCCAAAAATATACAGTCAACACTTTGCTGCTTGTCGATAGCCGAGGCAAGGTCATGAGTAAATTCTACCAATCGCGTCATACAAGAAAATCCCTGCTGAAACCCATGCTGACTAGAAAGAAGAAGGTTATTGGCAACAAGGTGAGACATGATGCTCCTATAAATCACAAGTTCCATGACTTTGCATACAATACTAGTTAATGACACTGGCCTATAATTCTCAACTCTGTCCCTCTGTCCACTTTTATGAATTGGTACCACGCGGGCCAACTTCTAGTCCCCAGGAACAATGCAGTCATTCAAGGAATTTTGAAATAAACGACAAAAATATAAACACAGATTGTCAGGACAGTTAATAAGAAACGATGCCGGGATATCATACGGACCACTCGCTTTCGTGTGTTTTGAGCCTTACAGTAATCTCTCGACTCCCGTCGCACTAAACACAACCTCAGACATTTTGTCAACTTGGACAGAAAAATCATTGATTGTAACTGCACTAGCATCTGAAAAATCAGACTGAAATACCAATGAAAAGTGATTAACAAAAAATGCCGCCATATCTACGAAGTGAATGATGATGAGTGGGCGAAGCTCCGGAGGTAAACCTGGTAAACCATGAATCCTCCGTACATTTTGCCCACTCGATTTTATTGCAACGCTCCCCCTAGCGTACGTCGCCGCACTATATCGAACGATGACACGCGCCATATGTGGCATCATTCCTATTTTATAACACCTCGCATCTTTCATAATCAACTACACGTACCGCCGTCTAGTTTATAACATCTTGCATCTTTTGGACGGACGGACGGACGGACGGGCGGACGGACGGATGGACGGATGGACGGACGGACGGACGGGTGGACGGACGGACGGACGGACGGATGGACGGACGGACGGACGGACGGATGGACGGACGGACGGACGGACGGACGGACGGACGGACGGACGGACGGACGGATGGATGGATGGATGGAGGAAGGGTTGGAGGATGGGAGGGATGGAGGGAGGAAGGGTGGTTGGATGGGATGGATGGATGGATGGATGGATGGATGGACGGACGGATGGACGGATGGACGGATGGATATGGCTGTACCCTTTAGATCGGGCGGTGGCTAGCGTAATACTTAGAACAGAACGAGAGGTGGCTACATACAGGGGACGCACAGCCCACGCCTTAAGGAGCTGCGCTCCTAAAATTTCCACCTTACTCAAATCATCATTAATAATTCGGTCGGACCAGTGCAATGGTGGAACAGAAGTGTCCTCCTTACTGTTTCTTTTAACGTATTTCCGAAATTCCTTCGGATCGTCTACCAGCCTCTGGCCTAAGTTAGCGAAGTATGTTTGTTTGGCTGATCCAGCGAGCTTTCTAAAACTACGTTTTAACTCTGCTAACTGTACGTAGCAACTATCCGATTTCTGAGTCTTGCTAAGCCGATAGATTCTTCAGATTTTTCTTCATAAAGAACTGAGTTGCCTGTTAAACCACGGTTTATTTTTTGAACTTTTGGAAGAGTGTGTTCGAACGGGAACAAATTTAGCACGAAGTTAAAAATTTTTTCTTTTTATGT